GCCTAATCAGTATACTTTTCAGCAACAGAACCAAATTTTCCCAAGACATTAATTTTACTCTTCAGTAATGGTTGCACCTTAACTAACTTCACTTGCTGGAATATCTTGACTTTAATCTAATAAGGCCAAGAGTCTTCTAAAACACAAGCATTTTAGTTCACTTTTTCCTCAAGCATCCACTTCAAGTAAGAATCCTCTGCAGGCATGCACTAATTTTACTCAGAGACACTGTGAATCTCAAATGTAATACATTTCACTCATTCGCCAAAAATCTCTGCTCAACCTGACTCATAGTTCATGTATGCAGTATAGAAACATCTAAACAAGTAATTTGTAATGAGCACATTATCTCTCCACAGGAGAATGACACCAAACAACCTCAGGAGTCAAAGGTGATGGTGCAATGTAGGTCCATAGCCTGTCTGACAGTGACTGATTCTACTGACATGTAACTTAAAGTACTCGTTAACTCCTGCACTGATATGGGTGGAGCAACGTAGCTGGGAAACCTATCCTCCCAAGCACACTCAGTTTACTTCTGTTTTTAAGCTAATTGATAAAAGCTTTTATTCCACTGTTTGATGCTAGTTTATGGCACATTAGTCAGAATGTTGAGTTCATAGCTTTTGATTCATCTCAAAGCTCACGGGGTTTAAAAGACTTCAATATTAAGCATAAACAACTTCTGCTTTTAAAACAAAGCATGAGCTGCTCCTTGTTGGTTGAATCACCAAATCCACTTGCTCTCCAATTAAATAAGCTCTCTCTTACCCCTAACAATGTGTTTCATGTTATAAAAGATCTTTCTCCTAATCTACTTTTAAAGACAGCGTCACACTCAAAAGACAGCCCCTTTCAGAAATTTAGTTTATAGCTAAGTAAAGTATCTATCACTGAACAACTACCACACAAACCTGAAGTGAACTTGGGGGTAACGGAGCATGCTTTTAGCGTGGCACTAGCCACTACATACACAGAACTATTTCTACTTTTGCTAATACTAAACCAACATGATATATTATTAACTTTAATTAAAAAACCATCGGCCATATTAACTTCTAGTTAGCCAGTGTTCTAATAGTCAGGAAGCACCACAAATCCTGTTATAGCACCTCTTTTCAAGTCCTGATTCATAGAATCGCAGACCTTTGAAAGGATTTCATTCCTTTCTCAGTTTAGTCCAAACTCCTGCTCAAAAAGTAGGGTCAACACTGAATTCAAACCAGGCTGCTAAAGCCTTTGTCCAGGTTTGCAGGTCTTGAAAAGCTCCAAGGACGGGGATTCCAGTGTCTCTGGTCAACCAATGCTTGATTTTTCCCCTTATACACTCAGTCTCCTCTCCAGCGACCTCTCCCGCTCCTTTTTGTGACTTCTGTCTCTCATTCTACTGCCATGAACTTCTGTAAAAAGCCTGGCTTCAACTTCGCAGCTAAAGAGATGAACGACTTGGTAAGACTTTTGGGTTCAGCTAAGCTACGATCAATAGGTCAAATCGGACCCGATACTTTCAAGCACTTACTGATTTCCTAGGTACCCAACAGAATTATATACTTCCCATGTGATACTGAAGTGTTAAGGAGAGCAAACAACATCTAAGTTAAGGATTAACAAACATAGGAATTCCAGCAATCTCCCTGACAACCTTATTTTAGTCTGTTTCCCCTAGTATAACATACTAAAAGCATACTTTTAAACAAGCAAAACAAGCACATTGCCAGACCGAGTTAGGAATGTAACTGCTCGCTGCCGTCTCATGCCAACCTATTCTCAGGGCTGGCATGAGATCAGATGATTGTTTGCCAAAACAATTTAAGTTTTTTCTGCCCATTTCATTGTAAACAAAAATAATGACAAAAACACCAGGCAGTCATTCCCACCTCCAGTCCTTGTGCCAGCAAAATATGGGGGGGGGAAGAGTAAATCAGAGCTCTTTCAGCAGCTGTGATGTTTCAAGGTGCTCACAAGACATCAAATTTCAGAAAAATACTCCAGTTTACACACTACTAGTATAAAAACTGGAACTAAATTCTCATTGTGCAGTTCTGTCATGTTCAACAGATATGAAACTTGAATGACTTAAAACGACCCAAAGCAGAAAAAAAATTGAATTAGTAGTTCTAATATAGCCCATCTTCAATTATTTGTGTGCATACATACACATCAATCATCTTACAGAAAAATACTTTAAACCATCACTTTCTCTTCTAGCACAGATCCTCTCTTGATAGCCTAGTATTACTTCCTGTCAGTCAGGAATAAATGCCATCGATCAGGCTTCAGTCCTTAAAAACAAAAAAAAAACCAAACAAAAAACCACACCAAACCACTATGCTTCTGCCGGCCAAGCACCATTGCCCGCCTTTTACTTTCAGATGGAGGGGATGGGGAAAGAACAAATTTTCACCTTCTTTTTCTTCTTCTTCTAGAGTCTCCCTTCCCGCAAAATAATGACTTCAGCTTTCCCAGCTCCCTGTCATCTAGAGCAATTTTTAGTCTCTCATATAGAAATCATTCCCAATGACTTGCCTAATTTCAGCTGCTATGCCAGGAACTAAAAATAAATCTTCTGTTATATGTAGTTGTACACCCTCTCCCACCAAGCCCTTGTTCAGCACTCCACTTGATGTGTGAAATAAGTTCTAGAAAAGAGACACACTCCTCTCAGCACACTGTAGAGTTCCTTGGATTATACACAACAGGCAGAGTGCAGGTTGATTCATCTCTATAACTCTACTGAAACTTGGTGAATTATAAGTTCTGAAGCTGAATCAAGAAAATCTCCACACCAAACTCTGAGAAGCTTTGTATACAAACTCAGTGACAACTTAACACTTGCACAAATAGTGTGGCTTCTCTTACAGAAATACCAAGTATGCCTTCATCTTATTTGCACAGTGAAGAGAGCAGGGATGAGGTACAAATAAGGTTGCTCTCTTGAGTACCTAAAGATATTGCTAGCCTCAGCAGAACCAATTCCTCATTGAAAATTAAAGCCAGCAAAATTTAGTAAGATTATTCTCCTATGTAATGGATGAAGCCTTTCCCTGATTACAGTTTTGTTTTTCCCTCGCAAACCCATGGCAGTCATTGATACATCTGGCTGTCCACTCACACCGCCTCAACTTAAAACACACCTGAATCCCGTCCCTTTTCTTCCTCGGAGGTAAATCCTTCTTCATGTCCGTTTTATACACCGTTTGTGTACATCATGTCCAGAATGAAAAAAAAAAAATCTACTTTCCCATTCAACCCATCCACTCGATTATATCATCAGAGGCTAGTCACTTTATCTCAGGGCAAAACTATCTTTCAGAAAGTATCTGATTCAAGCAACATACCACTACTCTGATCTATGTTGCTGCTGGACTGTAATCATCCTCTCAAGAAACAAAAGCATATGACTGCATATGAAGTCAAATATTAATATAATGTACTTTTTCCACTAAATGTAACAATAAAAGCCTACTCTAGTGATTCTAGAGCGAAAAGAACATGCAATGGAAATAGTTGTCCTGTTCAATCCAATTTTGAGCTCATCTCACTTTGATTTTTTTAAATTATGCATATCTTCCAGAACAGTGTTCTCCTCCGCTAGAGCAAAATTCAAATTTGTGTCCACAGCTTCTAATAGAAGCACTTTCCTGTGTGATTTTTAAATCACTTCCCTGCAGGCATCTTCAAGCAGCCTTCCTAGCTACTTTAGTTAGGAAATAGTAAAGGTAGTATAAACATAAACAAACATCTTGTTTATATGAAGAAGTTCATTAATATTAATCCTGTGCAAAGAAACATGAGTTTGTTTCCAGTAACACCATAAAACAAAAGACGACGTCATATTTGGTTACCTTTTGCTAAGATATACATGGTCACTTTTAATACAACTACACTTCAAGTTATTCAGTATTCTGGCATTCTGTCATCCTTTTAAATAATTGTCACTTTCAGTAACTTTTTAATTCCTCATATGTTACAAATTTAACATCTTCCCCACATGCATTCTAACTTAGTTTTCAGTGACAAAAAACCCCCATGGTTGTCAGGCTGATCAGCCCAAGGCTCTGCTGCACTATACTTGATGAAAGGAACACGAGGTGGAACACGTACATACTGACTTAGTTTTACCACTATCTGTGAAAAACCTTGCACAGATTAAATAAAGTCTGCAACTAGTATTCTATTCAATAAGAAAAGTCAAGTAAGTTTTAAGTGTCCGCTACGCTGCTGCTCTTGAAAATCCATCAGAGAACTGAGCTAGAGTGAGTTGATTCAAAGTTAAATAAGTGCAACAGAAGTAAACAATTAAAAGTAAACACTGTCATATTATCTGGTTTTGCTGCTACTGCATTTATAAAGTGAGATACAATCCAGTGCTATTGGCTTTGAAATGTACCTATGTTTCAAGTTATCAGGTTTCTAAGTAGAAATATGTTCTTTTAAATCAAAAAGCACAGGCATAATGAACAAACTCTACAGTCCTAAAGAGAGTTTGCGTGCTCAAAAGCTTGTCGGATCTTTCCAAAAACAGTGGACAATTTCCAAATTTTTAAACTATTTTCACATTAATTCAGAAATTCACTTGGGATCGTTTGCATCATAACCACCAATATTCTGGATGCTTCAACACAGAAAAAAACCCCCAACCCTGTGATCTTTCACTCAAAAGGTGAGCAGAATAGAGGTTACACCAACAGGTCCTGCTTGCAGAACAATACTGTTACGGCACCTCTCCCCAAAGGGATGGTCCAACCAACACCCCGAATCACACCCCTCACGGAAAACATGGGAATTCCCGGCTCCTGTCAGCGACCACCCCCGGTGCGTTACCACAGCGAGGCCCTCAGCGCGCCGCACGCCCCCCTCCAGCTGTCACCTCCCTCTCCCAAAGAGCACCCAAAAACCCTCACGGAAGCTCAAGGGATTTTTATAAAAGATCCTTTAATTCCTGAAAGCCCGGCACCCCCCAGGCCCGGCCGCACGCCCCTCCGCCCCAGATTCTCTACTGGGGAAGCAGTAATCCGGCTCTCCTCTTCCGCGGCGCGCCCACTTCGCTTCGGGTTCATCCTGCCAGAGCTCAGGGGCTCCTCGCCGCCGCCAGCGCCCGGAGCCGCCTGACCCTCCATCCTCCCACCGGCTCTGCGCCCCAGCAGAAACCCCCTCTCTCACCGGGGCTGTATCCTCAAGGCCCCATAGGACCGACTCGCACCACCGGGCGTCTCCCCGTCCCCTCCCAGCCGCAGCTGGAGCAGTTCCTGGTGCTGCTGCCCCGCCGCCTCCTCCCACTCCACCGCCTCAGAGCCGCCGCACGCCCCCACGCATGCGCGCCGCCCGGCCGGCGTTATCGCGCATGTGCCAGCGCGGTGCGCATGCGCTGTTTAGGAAAGCGGAGGCAGCGGTACGCCGCCCGAAGGGCGGGAGCTGAGGAGGGTTGGCGGTGCCTCTCCAGGAAATGGCGGAACTCGGGGGTTTTGAACAGAAACGCCCACTGGAAAGGTGAAGTGTGAAACAGAACTGACCTGCCCTGGCTTTGGCAGCACAGAGCTGGCGTGTAGGTGGATTTATCCCAGCTGAGTCGTTCCTCAAAACAGGTTGCTGGGAGGAGAAAAGGCTGAGACTGGTGCTTGGCCGTCTGCTTTCAGACGGAGTTGGCTGGTCTGAGGGAGGGCAGAGAGTTGAGGCGGCCGGAGCCGGCTGTGGTAGTACGGGCTTTCGAGAAAGCGGGACGGCCGGCGATGGCCGTGGCAGTACGTGTTTTCGAGAAAAGCCTCGTCTCCGTCTGATGCGCTTCACGCAGCAGCTGCTGGGCTCCATGTGCGCAGTGCCCAGACACTTCACACACGGAAGGTTTCCTAATGAGGTGGCTCTGACTTACGTATGTGTCCCTGTATTTTATTTTGGAAACGCACGAGACACAAGGGATAACTGTGATGTTTTAACTAAAATTGAGCTATCGTTACCACAAACAAAAGACTTAAATTTTTTTCTCTCAAATTTGAGAACTCTAGTTCCAATATCTGAGTCATCTACATGTGCTCATGGTTCACAACACTGAAAGAAATTGCTTCAGCCTTTTATTTCAACCAATTGCTGGATTAGAGAATCCCTTTGGCAGAGCCTCACTGTATAAACTGAAGATCTCTCAGCATGGATGTGTTGGTGTGGATAGTGGAAACAAGGATCACATGCCTGATTATTAGAGGCCTCATGTTGACAGATGTCTTCATATTAATATAATTGTTATTTTAAAAAGAGAAGAATACAGATTTTATGTTGGTATAGCTGAAGCTATGCTTGTTAAATTATACTGAGAAAACAGTCATGAAAACAATCATGATCTGTTGTTTTGGTGGGACAAGGGCAATCCACAAATCTTTGGAGTCCAAATTGAGATACAAACGTATTACTTGATTGCCCTCTAGAAAAGGGTCCCAACTCAGCACTGCTTCCACAGTGGGCTTGTTCTTTTTCAAAAGGCAAGCAAGACCAGTGCAGTGAATTTTCCCCATCTGTGTCTAATACACACATAGTTAAAGCATGCCTGAGATTCAAGTAGCTGTCTGCATTTTTTGTGACTGAGGCTTACCTGAGTACTGGATGAAACTTTTTTTTTTTAAAAATTCAACAGTGGAAACCTGTTGATAAAATCTGACAAGACCAGCTTTCAAATAAAATGACAGCTCAAAAACTTGCAGCGGTCTTAAAATTGAAGTAGAATCTTTGCAGCAGAAGTTAGTAGGTTATAAAATAGACCAGCTCTGTCAAGCTGCTCAGTTCTAAACTTTCCTTTGGGATGCACCTCTTCTTTTTATTACAAGTTTTCCTTTTATTTCATTTTGCTAATTTTAACAGTAAATATTTGGGCATAGTTTATGCTATCTTAACCACACATAACTTAGAAATTATGAAATTAATCAAGTAATCATGAATTTAATCACTTATTTGCAGTGACAGGCAATGTAATATTTCCAACTAAGTCAGTTTATAATTTACAGTGCATCATTCTACAGCAACAGTTTAACAATTTGCCAGTTTCAGTTAAGAAGAAATGCTCAGATCTGTTTTTTTCTTCTCTTCAGTTAGCCCTAATGGCCGTTCTGTTTTTCTGTGCTGTCTTTATTTGTCTGTATTAAGCAGCACCCATAACTGGAGCAGAAAGGTCAGTCATTCCAGAGTCGGAGAAAATAATTTCTAACTGGCTGACATCTCTGCACAAATGTAAGAGTTTTTAATCCAAACTCTGTAGCACTATTTGTTCAGCATAACTCTTAAGTGCTCAAGAGCTTTTTTTACTTGAATTTTCTGAATTTGCTACAATACTACTCATACTTCTTTAGCCAAATCTTCTTCAGTAAAGCTTTTACATTGGACTGATGTCTAAGACTCAAGAGCAGCAGGCAGAACATTACAAAAATATTTTGCGTTATGACTGAAAACAAGCGCACATGGCAAAACTCAGGAAAATTGAGCAAATGTACATTCAGGCATTGAGTTAATTTAGTTTTTGATGGAGTAAAACTCAGATCACATTAATGATCCTAAGCAAAACAGGAAAAAAAGCACTGAAGTCACGTTTAGGGACTATGCACATTACATTGAGAAGAAAACACAAAACATTTACTATTTTTAGTGCCGGTACGCAATAATAACAGTACCATTGTCTAAGTGATGGAGAAAAGATGTGCAACCATCAGGCTATAGCTACATCATGTGATGAAAGAGCTACCCCACAAGTACTCTTAGTTCCTCTTTTCGTCCTGCTGTTTGCTTGCTCTCCTGGGACAAATGGCTGGTTGGTTAGCAGAGTTGTCACTGTTTTTTTAACTCCGACTTACAAATATTTTGCAAGTCTCCACATAGAGTGCTCAGCTGTGACATAAAATTGTTATTTGAGTTGTACAAAACATTGCTACAGGATTTTCTGGAGACGTGCTTTTGAATAGGTTACTATGAATCAAGCATCATTAGATCTACTTCACAGCCTCCTCAGCAGAAGTTAAAGCCTACTATGTTGTTTTTTAAAATGTTTTTAGTCATACTTTAGCATTTTAGTATTTTTTTTCCCCCCAGTTTCCAGGATCGAGAAACAAATATTCTATGTGTGAACCGAAGTCCTATGACCATATAAACTCTGCAGGCAATTCTAAGCAAAAGGAGTGAGCTGAAATAATGCAACTATCCCAATTAGGAAAATTTAAATGGAAAAGCCCCTTCACACCAAAACAAAAAAAAACAGAAAACCACAACTCTGCTTAAGGCAACCAGAAAAACCTCAGATCATTTTGGCAGTCAGTTTGCAATGCAGTAATTTGGTTGGTCTCTGAGAGCAACATAGTGTGGCCTGAGGGTGGAAACTAGTAGTTGTACAAACCGTTCTTAACTTGGCTTCATCCCTGAAGAAAATGTATTTTAAAACTATGCATTTTTCAAAAATCATTTCACAACATTAAAAACATGTAACTACAAAAGGCCACTGCTATGTAGATGCTAACATTTCTCCTTGTGGTTTCGCCTGTAATCTCAGTCACGTTCAGTCACATAACCATAACAGCTAACAGTGACAGAAAACTGCAAATATACATCTGTAAAAAAAAAAAAGTCACACAATTATCTTACAGCAAAATGATCATAGACCGATAGGCATGAAATATTTTGAGCTTCCCCAGAACATGTACTATTTTGTATCTGAATTTGAACAAAATAGACCTTTGAAGGTGACTGGCTGATCCAGTAAGAACTCAACCCTCTAGCACCCTCCCTCTACACATATTAAAAAAACAATTGTGCAAGGTTCCAGAAGACACACGCTCCAAGTATATCTGAAAAAGAAAAGGGTTCTGGGCTTAAGAGATTTTATAAATTCAGTGATAGAATTTCCATTTGCCAGAGAAGGCACAGGCTTCTGCTCAATAACAGTAGTTCTAAAACAGCTGTAGTCAACTGGTCACCAAACCAGCTATTCAGATTTCAGTCTTTGAGAAATGTGCTATTCTCCAGGTTTCTAGTATTGAAGGAAGTTAACAAGGTTGAAATCTTTGTCCTAATTGCACTGGGGAGAAAAAAAAAAAAGGAATTGTTCTGTATACTACCACGAGAGAAAACATACAGTATTTAACCACAAACAGGAAGCATGCTGCTAAGTATTCACCAAACCAGCTATTCAGATTTCAGTCTTTGAGAAATGTGCTATTCTCCAGGTTTCTAGTATTGAAGGAAGTTAACAAGGTTGAAATCTTTGTCCTAATTGCACTGGGGAGAAAAAAAAAAAAGGAATTGTTCTGTATACTACCACGAGAGAAAACATACAGTATTTAACCACAAACAGGAAGCATGCTGCTAAGTAGTACATGCCTCATCTTTTCATCCAACAATTCTATATCATTAGCACAACCACTCTACTACAGAAAACATACCACAATCCTTTCATTACTCCTGTCGAGCTGTAAACTTTCTTCAAATTGTCTTGTGTCTCTTCCTGATCAGAATCATCACCACAGTCAGTTTTTACTCTCCTACCCCTTCCTCTTTTTGCAGCTTTAGTTGGAATCTATTTATGTGTAGGAATTTAAAAAATCCCAAAATTTATCTTCAGAAGGAAGACAGTCCAAGATTGTTTACAGTGCATGAGAATGTGGTAAATAATAAGAAAATGACAGTGTATATAGCTTATCTGAACAGGTAGGGAAATAGGATTAGAAGTAATAACTACTAAGCAATCAAAATCAATGAAGCGCATTTTTTGCATATGAATAGATATTCCCTATTGACAAAATAACCTCACTTTCTAAAAAATACTCTTTGACTACTTAATAAATATGATTTATTTGCAAACCTAAAGCCAGAGAAAATCCACTCACTGATAAGATAATTCCACGAAATACTTGTTTGCTAAAGCTTTATTTAATCTAAAACAATAATTTCCTGGCCTGTTAGAGGCAATAATTGTACATTCTATAGTGTTTCTGTAAATTAAGTCACAAGAAGTTACTGTCATATTTATACAAAATTTATGTTAGTGATTTGAAAGTACATTAAAATATCTTATATCAGCCATTAAAGTGACATTTCATGTTACAATCATGAACAGTATCACAAATGTTAATTAAAAGCACAGCTAATTCTGAACATTTCTATAAATGGATAAGGATTACAGCTTCAGCAAGGTTAATGTTCTATGGCTACAGCTGCGTTTTGTTTTTAACCAGCTGTGAGATGGCTGCAGAACGGTTCACTAATAGGCTATATATTTTTCAATTTTAAGTCAACTCACACATTTCGCCTGTACTTATTTATAGGAAGAGGAAGCTGACAGCTTCCCACCTATTGTTTAAAAAAAAGTTTTCATGTTGCATAAGTTAGCAAAGTAATTATCTCTCTAGTCACAGCAGACCTATAGTTCAACTTTACTTACTATGTCTAGCTCTAATTTAAAACCTAATGCACTGGAGCTAGATGATACATTAAAAGTAAGGAGTCTACTTGTGTCAAGGCACTTTCTTCATTAAAGATCCAGAAATAAACTGAATAATAGTTTTAATCTGAACACCTCTTTAGGGATTTTAATTTATTCCAGGCCATGCTCCCCTAATACTTAGAAATCAAAACATCAATAAGCTTTTTAGGTTTATATTTTCCAATGTGTTACTTTTTTTGTTACAAGCATTCTCCCTTTTTGAAGCAATTAACTAATTTAGGTGAATTCTGTTTTCACCACTTTCTGTATTTTGACTACTTAGTTTATGATTCTAGATCACAACTAGGTTTATCTTCTCCAAATGATTTTTTACTTTCAGGTTTTAACAGAACAGTAAGAAAACAGCATTTATGCCCCGTTCATGTCTTCTAGAAACAGCACATGTATGAAAAAATTGCACAGGATTACTTCAGAGGTTCATGTAAAAAAATAAGTAGGAAGAAATCCCTTTTCTTGATTTTGGGCTTTTCCCACAGGAAAAATGAATCAAAGCAAAACAAATAGCTGATACATGAAGTAGCCAATATACATGGCAATTAGTTAATAATGGATTCTTTTTTTTCCCCTTTGCTTTTAAAATACCGATCTGTAGTCTTACGTGGTACAAGATGTGGTTATTAGTGCAACTGTTATCTAAACTTTGCATCTAGCGGTAATTTCTCAATATTGCCAGCAAGCAAAATGCCTACTGCCTTTTTTTTTCCATAGAATAATCCTAATAGTATCATACAGAACTTCTTGGGTTAGTACTTCCATTTTTTCACAACATTTTATGTGCTGGGACACAACTACTCTGTGAATAAAAGGCAGTTATGTCTCATAATACTGAGTTTTCTTTCCAGCCTGAAAGAACCAGAGATTATCTATATATAGAGAGAAAAAATGTAATATTGCCACTAAATACTATGTCTCAGTTTTCAAACATACATTTAATATTACTCATATGTTCTACCTTCCCATTTTTAACAATATAGTAATCTTTTCGATTTAGAGTCAAATCCCAACAGTTATTGTGGATTTAAATGGAGTATTCAAGGTCTTTGGAAAAGCTACTAAATTTTTACACTTTTTCTGTCATCTCCAGTATTTTATACACCAAGCACCTATGTACTATCTGTATCTGACAATGTAATTAAGAGAGCATGTTCTATCATTGTCTGCAGTCCTGCAGAAGGCAACAGAAAAGATGTTTCTTCAGAATGTGGCATTTTTTTCCCCTCTAAGGCTACTGGGGGATTCTGTTGTCTGTTCTGCACACCTCCCTACAAACTGATGGCTGCGTTGCATAGCTTATCATGCTGTGGTATGTTCCCCAAATTGTTTAGAAAATGTCTTTTGATGTTCCTATCTCACAGCACAATTTGCTTCTCAAACATAACTAAACAGATCAATATAAACTCCTTTTATTTACTACATGGGTTCCCTTGACCATATTCAGCACTAGAGACCTTTCTATTTATCTTGCTTTTCACAAAAACTAAATACCCTACTGCAGCCATTCTCTAGCAGATCCCTCACACGCCTCGTAATTATCCAGGGCTGGTCAGAACAGGACAGAACAGAACTGGTTATTTAATGGTCAGGCTGCACTACGTGGTAACTTTCCTACTTTGTTTATTTTGTCTACAAAGAAAGCTGTATCATGGGCAAATAGTGTTTATTATTTCTGTAAGTTATATGAAAGCTTAGTAAATAAGAATTCTACGGTACAGGGAATTAATAATTATTAGTGGAATAGCTTTAAATGTATCTCATCATAGCCCATAGTCCAGTAAGTAGGTTTCTGGGTGGAATTAGTTAAAGGACTTCATTTTGATGGAAATATACACATGTTCAAGGCATTAGTAGATGCTAATGAAGAGCTTCCAAGCAGGTGGACAAAAATAGGCCTGATTAAAGCTAAAGATCATGTTAAGGAATCTTTGCTCAAGTTGTTCAATGGAAGCATCAGGTAAAAACTTCTGGAATTTTCATCCATAGTAATTGCCTGTCCAGCATATTAATAATAGTTTCACTTGCTAGAAAAGGACTGATTTTTTTTTTTTTAAACTGTTCTTGTCTTTGGGTGTAGCATGTATCCTTTATTGGTGGTATATACACTGTATGGAGGGATTACCATCACCAGGTCTGCATCAAGGTTTTTTTCATAGCTATGCTAACTCCACTAAAGACCATTTTTGGGGAGTATTGTGGGATGCATTTTAAAAGTGTGTCCTTTTACATGAGCTAACAGTGGGATTATTTAAACAGCTTCTTTAAAGGGAGGTAACCTAGTTATATCATGCAATTATTTAGTAGGTAAACTAATACTACTTAATTATATAATTTCTTCATGGTATTTAAAGGATTTACTTAGCTAAATACCTTGAAAAGCAGGTATTGCAGCTTTGAGGAATGAGAAACATTCCTGCTCAGGTAATTTATTTGGTGCACTCCCTATATTGGTTTTGGTTTACTTAATATTTGTGTTTAACTTACAAGAATATTTTAAAACTACCACTGAAATAAACTGTATGTGTAGCTTTTCTGATGGAAAAACCTAGCTCTGAAGTGTAATATGCTTCCTTGGCATCTAGCACAGTTCTAGCAAGATGGTATTTGCATGAGGCTTACAGAAAACAAAGTATCTTCTCTTGTTCTACATTTTTGGTTTGTTCTGAATTATTCTTCCTTTTGTGTCTGTTAATTCCTTAAATATTGCTTATAATGAACTTAGTTGTGAAAAGCAAAATTCTGGAACATGTAATCTAAATTCTTTGCTTGTCCACTTAGTCCTCTTTATAAATGAGTGAAGATGGAGTGTGGTAAAATAACACCACCAGTGAGAAGCAAGATTAACTCCGATCTTATCCTGCACATGCACAATTGTGTATTTTGAGTTGGACAAGTAGCTGAAGATGAGTTTGAAGCTCAGACCAAGAGAATGTGATTTTTTTCACATGATGAGAACACACATTAGACTTCATTTAGTGTAAGAGGAGGTGACTTTTAGGGTGGCAAGTGGTGTATATATATTTGTGTGTATATATATGTATATATTTTCCTCTCTTTATCCACATCAAATTGTATTTGTTCAGCAAACTTACATGATACAAAATTAATAGATAA